AACAACCTATTGGCTCTACTGATGAACAACCTAATGGCTCTACTGGTGAACAACCTAGTGGCTCTACTGGTAAACAACCTATTGGCTCTACTGGTAAACAACCTATTGGCTCTGCTGATGAACAACCTAATGGCTGTACTGGTGAACAACCTATTGGCTCTACTGATGAACAACCTATTGGCTCTAGTGCCGGGAAACAACTTCCAAATGAAGATGTTGACCATGGGCCTACCGTTATGAATTTTAGGAATCAGGTGAATGCAAAATTAGAGGTGCTCAAAACAAAGAAAAAGTTGCTAGAGGACAAAAGACGTAAAACAAAAGAGGAAGAGAAGGCAATGTGGTCTTCATACTTTACTGAACGAGAAGAGAAAGAGGTTCCTAGAATGATGCAAGAAAATGAATGGAAGATTGAAATGCACATGAAACTAGATGAGTTGAAAAGGATGTCAGAAAAATAGAGCTAACCAGAAAATGTTAAAAGCTAACAACAATAATTAATTATTATAATTAAAAATTCAGTATTGAAATTAAAGATTATTTTTACATTAAGTTATTATAAAATATTTCATTGTTCACTCTCTGGTGGCGGGCAGTCAGTGTCTTCTATGTTCTCATTAACATTACCTATATCAGAAAAAGCATCGGGTGATTCTTTGCCACTGTTAGCCTTGGGGTCACTAACTGAAATAGGCTGAAAGCAGGCAGAAGGCATCACTAACGAGGCGAGTAGTGATTGTACCTTGTCAATATCTTGTCCGTTTTGAATAATTTCTTGTGCCATCTTCAATCTACGATCTTCTGCTTCCAACCTTCTCTTATCTATTTCACCAACTTTTGATAAAGCACTTATTTTTAATTCAAGTTCTTCTTTTCTTTCTAAGTGCTTTTGATGATCTGAGTCATCTTTTGCCTTCTGAGCTTCAATTTGCAATCTTGTACGTGCCAAATCTTTTTCATATTTCCTCTCTTCAAAAGAAATCTCTTTCTCTTTTAAGTCGAGTTCGGCCACTGCCTTTTCCTTCTCGATAGCAAATACTTTTTCTTTTGTGGCCGCTTTTTCCTTCTCGATATAAAGTTCTCGGTCCTGGCAAGTTTTACACTTTTCTATCGATCGCGTCCTCTGAAGCCACCAATCTCTTGTTCCTTCATCCTGGCCACAGTTGCTGCACCGTACTCTAGGCATGCTGAGCTTTTTGCAGAGAATTATAATTTCTGCAAAAAAATTAATAATCTGATTATATATAATTAATTTTTCACAAATAAAATAGGAACCGATGACGTCACACAGAATATGGTTTTGATAGTAGAGGGTCTACAATTATTTGAATTGAACTTGCTTAGTTTTAGCAAATTATAAGTTGAATAGATTTCAGGATTATACCATGCACAGTAAAAAGGTATACTAATTGTAGATCAAAACAAAGAATCATACCACAGTTTTAATGCACTGATATAATCAGGCAGTTCTCGACTTCTCTTGATGATTTTAGTATGATCTTAATGAAGCGGCAAGAAGTGGATTACAAAGTCTGTCCATGCCTACTTACATTAATTTTAATGTACTCATGTGATCGGTTTCCAACTCATTACTTGTACTGGCATAGACAGACTGCTCCCTTTTTTAACAATTAGAATTGGATGGAATTGGTGTGGTCATACTTCCAGACATCCATGTCAAAAGGAGGGGATTCTGGCTACGTGAGATTACAGATCATGCTAATCAAAATCACTTAGAACACAGATAATAGATATTAAGCTTTTCAAGTCTGTGACAGCACAAACTGAAAGTAGTAAACTGAGAGCCGGTAGCTAAATCCTTTATGCAGTCTGTTAGCTGAAGTTTTGCTGAGTGACAGCATTGTGATTAAAGAACAAGGGAGCTATAAGTCAGCAAGTAATATCATAGCACATAATCTTCACATGATCTGACCGCTTAAGTATAGTGCCTTATATGGTAGAAAACAGAAAAGGTCGATAACAGTTTTGGCTACAGAGAGTTTAGTCCTGATTTCTATGCATGCAGAGAAGCCCATGCAGTGCTCAGAACTCAAACTTCGTTACCTTCTAATACATTACATATTTCTTTTAAACTTTGTCTGTTTTTTACCAAATAAGTATAGTAAGTTCGGACTTCGCAATGTATATTATATTACTTTCAAAATAGTAAAATACATTAACATCATTACTTTATGCCCAAGCTACAGAATAATCATACATGCATGTATATTATAGCTACAACTTCATACTCATAGTCTCTCACTGTTCATATTAGGATTTAGGAATAACCAACTATGTGATCTGTGAAGCATGGTAGATGTGAAAAGCTTCTGGCCAATAGAACTTCAAAGAGCTAAGAAGTCTATGACTGCATGTACCTAAACCATGTACGAGAATTATTACGGTATACAGCATAGCAGGATATTTGTAAATGTCAATCAAATTGATGCTGCAATTGTTGTTGCATAAAAATGATAACAACTCAAAAAATTTTAATTGGTACAACACACACGTCAGGATATGTCACTAAAACTGTGTAACTTGGACACAAAAACCATTAAACAACTTAACAAACTTTCTACATAATGTAATACAATTTCAGAGCCAAAAAACCATGACTTTAATTTCTAAAATTTGCCGAGGCTACTATACTTAACAAAACTCAAAATTTTAATTGGGATTGCCTAAAACTTTCTATGCATAAGGACATCATGTGTCTTGGGGGTAATTTCAAAGCCTTAGAAAGTTTGAGTCGATTCCAATTCAAATGGATTTTTAAATAAATGTTTAAAGTTACTCACAAATCAGACCAAATCAGACGTCATTATTAAGTAATACATCCATCATCTCCTCTCAGTTACCATGTTTTATATATTCTTGTGATGGTTCCCTCAATATCAGTTCATAGGGTAATACTTGTAGTCTCTGGCAGGTCTCACTGTCCTTTATCTCACTAATAACGTCTCTGATAGTATATACAGTCTGGGACCAGTCCTGTAGAGCCACTCCCTTTATAAATGGAAACTAAAGATTTCAAATACTAATCACATCCAGTCTGATTTCATTATTGTATTGTGACCCATAGTTAGAGCAGAAGATAAAGAATAGTAGAGTAAAAGACCTGACGCTAGACCTCATTATTATTTTATCATATAATTAGAGAAAGAGGGGGAAAGGAGAGATTGTCATTGAAATTCTATTCATACCCTGTATATGTAGGTGAATGAAGCTTTATGTCAGTGAATATCTGGGTATGAATAGAATCTCAAAGATACTAAGAGGTATGAACAGAATCACATGATGGCACTATCAATCATTAACTGTGTATCTAGCTACAAGTTAATAGTCAGCAATTTTATTGTCTTTCTACAAAGTTTTCATTATTCCATTTTTACTGCATTGCCTATTCCAGTACAAGTATGTACATCCCAGCATATCTATGCAGCATTTATTTGTGCTATTTCCCTGTCCTTTTCCTATTTTATTCTTTGATATTTTTCCTTGATACAAAAACCAATAAAACCATTGTAAAACAATCATGATCAGTGTATTTGCCTAATGTAAATCTGTGACACAATGATTCAAAAGAGCTTGAATCAACAATTTTAACTATAAAAGGTATCAGGTATCCAGTGTACTTGATATTACAACCACTTAACACTTTGAAACAATCTTAATCTAAATTAATATAATTATTCTAAAGCCACTCACTTCAATGATAAATTAAAGTTTAAATTCTAAACAAAGTTCATCTTTAATGGCTTTTTTCTAGCAATTCCCTTCAGTGTTTCCTCTGGAGTCATCAATATAATTTAGCTTGATTTTCTTTGAGGACACTTTCAAGCTCTTCTTCACATGCTTAACTGTAGCTGGACAAAAAAACATGCATGCATCAGTTTGAAAAGTACAATTACTTTCCTTTATACAGGTACTACATTTTTCTATAGTATGCTTTCTGTGTAAAAATCCACCCTCTTTTGGGGTTATCAGCCAGCTACAGTTCATGCACTCTCAAAACCCCAGGGGTTTATTCTTGAAGTAACTCATGCTAACCAAATATATACAGCCAGTATTAAACTCTACAATAATGAATAGGAAGGGTGCCAAACTGCCAATGATACAAGTGAATGAAATTTTAATTTATTCGTTATTATTCCACTATGGTGATGAACTTTATGTTACACAGTTCACCAGCATGGTGGGTATAATGGGACGATGGTAGCAAATTTTTTAAATAAATTTACATAGACTACAGTCTAGATGTGAATCTGATAAATCCATGCACACTATAGACTTCTATCAAGATTCTATCAGTTTTTATTAGTTTCAGTATAAACAGAAGCATAAAACGGGCACAAAACTACATGCATACAGATTGCATTGTCTCCATTGCTGTGTAAACTTAGGCTGCGTTTACACTACTCCGCTCCACTGAATCCGAATAGTTTTTGCTATCACTGGTTTTAGGTGTTTACACTAATCCACCAGCTGCGTTTTCATTTGAACTTATCATTTGTTTACAGAAGTATCCGCTTAGGTATTCGTTTTCAAATGTCTCCGGATAAGTATCCGTTTTCATGTGTTTTAGTGTAAACGAAACCCGTATCCGTGACTAAAAGTCTCCGTTTTCCAATGAAACCGAAGTAGTGTAAACGCAGCCTTAATTTGCCAAATTTGTGTCCTTGTATATGTACACTATTGACTACATGTACAAACATGATGGTTAAAAATGGTGGGTTACAATGTACATTATCAAAATGCCAAATTTACCACAACTTCTTCCTAAAATGATCAGCTACATAAATTATACATTAAATTTTATCAACATATCAAATTTCGGCCTTAAATTAATAAGAAGTTATATTATAAATTTAGAATGACACAAATATCTTTCAACTATTTTTTCAATTACTTGTTCTTTGTTGGTTTGTATTGGATCAGTTCTTAAATTGGTTCCTCTTTGAGGTCCTCTCTCCTTCTCCAGCTGGTAAGTGAGTGCAATCAGTCGAAGATCAACAGCTGATAGACTTTGATAATCACCAGTCTTCTTAGAGAAATCAGTTACTGGAGGAGAAGGGAGAGAGAGAGAGAGGAGAAAGGCAAGTTTATGATAGTTGGCTAGATGCTGATTTATTCTTATACATAATGTACTTATGTTCTTTGAAAAATTTGCTCAAAAATTGGTCCAAAGTCCCAGTACTATAGTACAGTATAGAGTTGTTGGCCAAATTTTGCCAAAAATGAAAAGGAGAGAATTTTTCACTTTCATAATTTTTCATGATACAAGTACATATACGGGCTCTTATGTTGTGTAGAAATTTTGAGATGATTCTGATTTGAATTTTTTATGAAATTTTGACGTTAAATCAAAAATTGGACCAAGGCAAAGACTCTACATAAGCATAGAGAAGTTTTATTATTGAGAGATTTCCTGTACATGTACATGCAGTAGGGCACCTTTTTTCAAGAGCTATAAATTTAGTGGATATATAATTCACTGTATCAAATTTTGCGATTTTTTCCCCAAATCAAATTTTCCGCACCAATACAATAAATCCGAGGAATTTTTTTGCGAATAGCAACAAAATCTGTGAAATCTGCAAAATATATAGCCCTCAATAAAAGGCACCCTAATGTATATATACATAATGCATATTCATTAATGACTTACTCTGAGTCCTTTATGACTGAACTGTTTATCACTGAGTGATGAATAATGAGTGAGGCCATCTTTACCAACATCAGCTAGCACTTAAATCATTGACTTGTTGCCACAGTAAGGACAAAACAACAGACCACTTTTAAAATAAACCCTATTAATAATAACAACAACAACAATAATAGTAATAACAATTTGTTTGTTTCTTAGCAAAAATATCATAACATTGTGTAGTCGGCTTCAGTTGAGAAGAAACCACCACCACCCCTTATAACTTTTGTGTCACTAATGCTAGCAAATTTGAAATTTATAATAGTTGCATAACGGGTTCTTAAAATATCCTTACCAATTTTGGAGTTTTTAGGTACTTTGGAAGGTTCTAAATGGGTTCTTCCGCTTGAAATAAAAGGGAATCACCATGAAAAATTTGTATGCATCATTCTGATGAATATTATTTGCATAATTATCATTACAAATAGTCAAAAAATGTTTTTTATTGAAAAAACAACAAATCATATCATGCTAGACCTACTATTATTCAACAAGGAGTCTTTCTTGAGAAGAAATCTGCTATCACTCTACAGTCTTCTTGATCATCGTTGTTCTTAACTGCCCATCACACTTGTCAATTCATCCATATTCCGAGCTCTATACCAACTAAAAACAGGCACCAGAAACAAGAAAAGGATAGATGGGGGTAGCAGCAACCACTGTAGAGGTACAATAGATAATAAAGTAAGTTAAAGGAGAAGAAACGCTCGAAGAATGACAGAGCTTGCACATTGCAGCCATATTTGGGCAGGGCTACACATGACGTTTTAATGATAAAAACATTAATTTACTTCCGTTTCTTCTGAACTGAAACTGGCTGTAGTCCTTCTATTGATTGGTGGGTGCTGAATATATGCACAGTTGAATATAGAAAAAAGATTCAACCCCAAAATACAGTCTCATATGTAAATCTATATAAGCATGAAATAAATACATGTACTTGTACGTTTAATTGTGTAATTGTGTATCTTTTCTTGGCTTACTTGAAGCAGGCCTTGCATTGTTGAGCGTAGGTTCTTATTCTCTTGATTAACATTCCATCAATGGAGACTACATTAAGACCAATCTGTAATAGGACATTCTGAGAGAGAGGGAGAGGGAGAGAGAGAGAGAGAGGGAGAGGGAGAAGTAAGAATAGAGGAAAAAAAGAAATACAAGTGTACATGTACATGTAGGAGGAATGAGAAAAAGATGGTAGTCATAATAAAATGACCATCAAAATGCTTAAAATTCACAAAATTAATTCCTTCCAAAATTTCCTGCTATACAGTATATAAATTCATTACAGACATAGGTGATGTACATGAATATTTTTACACCAAATGTATACATGAAAACATAAACCAAATGTACATGTACATGTATGCTAATAATACTGCATAGAGTAAGCCCCTCTAATAAACCACAGTAATTAATAAACACACACTGTACTAGTGAATATTACCTGCATAGCATAGTCAGTGGTCATACAACCAACAGATATCTCATCAATAGTCTCCTCCATCAATCCACCAATACTATCACAAACTGACTGATAATTATCAGGAGTAATCCAACTATCATCATCATCCTCTCCCTCTCCATCTTCCTCTCCTCTTTCCTCCTCCTCCTCTTCTTCTAATTGTTCCTCAAGAATGTCATTAGTTAGTGCTGTATCTTTATCTCCATCTATAAATATGTACATGTGCATCATTATGAGTGTGTGTGTGTAGATTGGAATATGAAAAAGGCAATTTATTTTAAGCATCATTTGGGGTGATTTCGGGGCCATTTTTTCGAAAAAACCATGGGCTATAGCCTTGGGTATCTTTCAGAATTTTGGCATTTTTTTAAATGGCTGTAACTTGAAAAATTGAAGTTGGAATCAGCTCAAACTTTCTATACAGCATAAGGACATCAATATGTATCAGAAAATGTAATAAAACTTGGAGTGATTTCGGAGCCATTTTTCAGAAAAAAAACCAAAGCCTTGGGTAATTTTCAGAATTTTTGCATTTTCTTAAAATGGCCGTAACTTTGAAAATTGAGGTCTGAATCAACTCAAACTTTCAACAGAGCATAATATGAAAATACTATTAGTCAATGGGAGTAGATATAGTACAGTCTTTACCTTGTTCTCTTTCTTTCTCTCTGTCTTCTTTACTGCTAATGCTTTGTTCAGTTGATGTATCATCACATTCTTTATTAATATCAACATCATTGAGGGAGTCACTCAATGTTGCTTCATTCTACAATAATAAATAAAATTAGCAACTAAAATTAATAACTAAAATTAATAAATAAAATAAATAAATAAATAAATAAACAACAACAATCTGGGGATGATTTCGAAGCCATTTTCAGAAAAACCATAGACTATATACAGTCTTTGCTTTTTACCAAAAACCTGCTACTTTTAAAAAATGGTCGCAACTCAAAAGAAAATGTAAAATAAAATGTTTTAGAATCACATTTTAAGCTACACATTGTACATGTACATGTGTAAGTATTTGAGTGACAAGTAGATCAGAAGAATTGTCAATAATTATTTCTTGTATAGTCTTACCTTCTGTGGCTTCTTTCCAGTGTAGAAACCAGCTGTAGAATAAGGTATCCTCTGAAAATAATAATAATGATAATAATATTAATGATTATTAATGACATTAATCACACTAAATTTTGTCAAGCAATTATAAATTTACATTGTATATTGACTGGTGGTTCTTATTTAATGATTTATTGACAGTTCCACATAAAAATGACTGGCTCTGTAAGAAGTTCCTTAACCTTCCATTACATGTACATTAATAAAAATATTACATGGAAATTATGACTTTAAAATTATAATTATACTGATATTTTTCAATTTCATTGTATTTATTTATTTACTTGTTGTTCTTTGTTGGTTTGTATTGGGTCAGTTCTTAAATTGGTTCCTCTTTGAGGTCCTCTCTCCTTCTCCAGCTGGTAAGTGAGTGCAATCAGTCGAAGATCAACAGCTGATAGACTTTGATAATCACCAGTCTTCTTAGAGAAATCAGTTACTAGAGGAGAAGGAGAGGGAGGGAAGAAAGGAAAACATGAAAGGAAGAATAAAAGTTTATGATAGTTGGTTAGATGCTCATTTTCATAATTTCTTCTTATACATAATGTACTTATGCTGTGTAGAAATGCTGAAAAAGTTGCTCCAAAATTGGTCCAAAGTCCCTGTACTATATAATAGTAAAGGGTTATTGGCAAAATTTCACCATAAATGAAATCTCAATTTTTATAATTTTTCCTGATACATATACATGTTCTTATGTTGTGTACAAAATTTGAGCCAATTCCAATTAAAAATAAATTTTTAATGAAATTTTAAAGTTACTCCAAAATTACCCAGACGTCATTATTATGCATGAACAAATAACATTAATTAATTATGCAGTACAATATAAAGCATAATCTCCTCTCAGTTACCATGTTTTATATATTCTTGTGATGGTTCTTTCAATATCAGTTCATAGGGTAATACTTGTAGTCTCTGGCGGGTCTCACTGTCCTTTATCTCACTAATAACGTCTCTGATAGTATATACAGTCTGGGACCAGTCCTGTAGAGCCGCTCCCTTTATAAATGGACCGGAATCAACTACTAAACAGCTCACTTTGCTGTTCACTCTCGATTTACTCATGGTCGGTCCGCGGTCGATCGTGTACCATCATAGATATTATAGACTACGTAACCTATAATACGTAGTCTATAATATCTATGGTACCATGCATGGGCGCGGTCATTTGCTGTATCTAATTAATTTATAATACGTCATTATTGACAGTTTGACACCACTCTTGTTGACACAAATTCACAAAAGGTCACAAAGCTGGCTCTTCAGTCTTCATGCAGCAGTTTTTATGGAAAATATTGCCACATCGATTATCGTTAAATATTTGGTCCAATCGCGGGAGCAGCAGCCAAGTCAGCCCTACAAATACGAGTATACAACTGAATCTGGAAAATTTGGCTAGCTGTGATGTGCCATATCAACATGATTATTCCTATCAGCACAGCCCCCAGCAAAAACTTCAACCTGCAAGTAATGAACAAAGATCCGATCCGTATTCATGTAATAAACAACCTTCATGCCAGGAAACCATAGATGGTACTGGGGAAACATATTATCACATTAATCCGGACACGTACTCTCAACCAAAGGCAAGTCATGAAAGCAAGCAGATGACAGGCCATGGTACCACATTTAACCAAAATAAAGGTGCTCATATGAACAAAGAAGGAAGATGTATTGAAGTCAGTAGCACAAAGTATGAGTCCATGGTCAAGAACGACTGCAAAGCGGGCAAAAAGCAGCATCAGTGCTGTGAAGCTGAGCAGTTTGCAGAATCTAGTATGAATGCAGAAGGGAGATTCAAAGTAAGGAAAAAGTTGTTAGAGGACAAAAGACATAAAGCAGAGGAAGAAGACAAAGAGATGTGGTCTACATACCAAAAGGAACAAGAAGAAAAAGAGGTTCTTAGGATGATAAGGCTTAATGAACTTAAGATTCAAATGTATATAGAATTTGAAGAGAAGCATCTGAGACTACAAAAAAACAACAGTTGAATAGCAACTGAGCTCATACAGAGCTACAAAAATGTTAAAGTTTAGAATCTATATCATTATCATTTATATAGCATCTAGTATAATACTATAACTATTTTATGCAGATAAAAATGAATAATGAACTTCTAATTAACTAGAATTAACAGTCGATGTCTCTGCTTCCAAGTTTTCACTGACATTTTCATCATTATTCTCCTCATGCTCATCATTGTCAATGGCCAAGGAATCAGCAAAAATTGCTGAATGAGGCATTAAAAGAGAAGCTGGTAGTAATATTGCTTCCATCTTGTCAATATTTTTATCGCCCTCCATATTTTGAAATGTTTCTAGTCTTCTGTTTTCCATTACCTTGAGTTCTTTCACCCTTTCTAATTCGGCCATACCAAGTTTTTCTGCAGCATTTGCTTTCAACTTTACTGCCTGATAGTGCAATTCGGCTGTCTTCTGCTGCCTCTCAAGCATATCTAGTTGTGCTTTTGCCTGCTTTAGCTCACGTTCTTCATCTGATTTGGCCTTTTCTTCATCTTTTTTCTTAGTCTGCTCAAACTCCCACTTTTTGTAGTCTAATTCTTTATCAAATTTTCGTTCAGCACTTGCAAGCTGTTGCTGTTGTAGTTCCAAAGCTTTGTCTTTTTCTGCATCAGCATCCTGCTTTCTACAAGATTTACATTTATCTATGGACTGAGTGATCTTAAACCATTCGCTTTTTCCTTCCAGTTGGCCACAGGTATTGCACTTTATTTGAGGCATCTTTGTAAATAATGATGTGCTCCACCCAACGCCCACGTGAGGTGGTGCAAAATGATTGTATTGATTGATGAGCCACCTGGCTTCACTGAGCCACCACTTATAGAGCATAAAGGCAAACTTATTATTATTATAACTAGGATATTTACAATCTACTCCCTCACCCTGATGTACATGTACAAGATACCAAGGTGCATGCATACAAACAGAATTACAGTTCATCTGCAAGGGTATAGAAGGTTTTTTGCTGTTCTGCCTCACTAAAATTCCTATTTCTCATAATACCATGCAAAATTAACATACCAGTGCGTGTATTACTTCAATTTAGAACCATAATCAAAAGCTTACATGTATCAACTTTAGGCATCCATAGCTATAATACAAATTTCAATTGGATATGCACTGCAACGATGAGGTTGCCACTAAAAACATTATTTCACTAATTAATTATAACTTTAGTATCGTTTTCTTTTTGTCCCACAACTGGCGATATCATTGGAAGAAAAAGGAGACACTTGACTGGATCTAGTGGGTATGGCTTTTTATGAGTATAAGATGAACAAAAATTGAATTAGACACTAGCTGGGCCAAAGAAATGAGGAATTTGGAAAAAGAAGGATACTAAATAAAAAGGAGAGAGAGAAAAGAGGGTGGTTATACTCTACTGGTAAATTCTATTCATAGTTCATACCAACATTACACACCATGATAGTCATAGCCCATAATAGAGGAAGACAGTGTATTCATCATCTACACATCAGCACTATAGGAATAATACAAATTTATTCATGAAGCTAATTGAAACTGACCTTATATAGTGTCATATCACATTTCAAGCAATTTCTTTTCCAAGCGGCAATTTTTAAAGTTATTCACTCAACACACTGCAAAGAACTAGAAGAAATCCTAGAGACGAGAGAATAAGGCTCTAGCCTTGAATGCAAAACTAAGGCCAATCTGCAATAAAACTGACATTCTAAAAGAAGAGAAAGATAGAGGGAAAATAACTAAATATAACAAAATCACTGCATGATTATTATCAAGAGTGGATAAATTATTTTAGGGAGAGTGTCTAACCCTAGTCTCGCG